ACTTTTGTCCAGCCTGAAAGAGTGTCAGAAGTGTCACTGGCCAGGATTTGGAGCCTCTCTTTCCAAATGCCCGACTGATTCACAGCCGTCACATGGGACTTGATAAATTTTTCATGCCAGAATTAATCAATTTAAGTGGGCAGTTTTCCTCACTGGCGTGTATCCTGCCTCCCTGGGGCACTTCATCTGTCACAGACAAACGGGATAGGGATTTGTGGAAGTGCTAGTGGGGTGCCTCTTCTCAGACCCATCAAACTGCATGTGCACATGTCATGTCAGGAATTTTTGGGTCTCCTGGGGCATGTGTGGGGCTTTCCAGAGGGGAGTGCCTTCCCCAGCCATATAGGGAACTGCTTCTTTTGATGGTGTGGTGGTTTAACCCCAGCTATAAACTAAGTCACATGGAACTGCTTGCTTATTCCACCACCAACCCCACCCACAGTGGCAGGTAGAATCAGGGGGAAAAAAATTAAACTCATGGATTGAGATACAAACAATAATTGAAACAAAACAAAACATAATAATAGTAGTGACTCAGAGGTAATAATAATGAGACAGAGAGAGATACAACCCAAGGTAAATAAGTGATACCCAATACAGCGGCTCACCAGCCACTGACTGAAGCCCAGCCCATCTCTGAGCAGCAATTGGCACCTCCCGGCCAATGGTCTCCAGTTAATATAGTAGGCAAGATGCTCTGTGGTATGGAATATCTCTTTAGTCACTTTGGGTCAGCTGTCCTGGCCATGCTCCCTTCCTGTCATTTGTGCACCTGCTCACTGGCAGAGCCTGGGAAACTGAAAAGTCCTTGACTTAGGGTAAGCACTACTTAGCAACATCAGTGTGATAGCAACATATTCTGCGGCTGAATCCAAAACACAGCACTGTACCAGCTACTAGGAATAAAATTGACTGTATTCCGGCCTAAACCAGGATGGATTAGTTTTTTGGAGCTAATTATTTAAATGTAGCATGCATTCCTTTTATCATGCACAGACATAGCTCAAGAAATGGAAATGTAATGGAAATATACTATTTATGAAAAGAATGACATATAGTAGGGGTTAATGAAAGATATTATTTACCCTATAGATACTGAAACAAGAAAAACACTTATTTGTGAGAGAGATTATTGCAGTGCTTATAATCCAAGCAGCCCTAGGAAAGGAAAGATAAATGAGGCATTTAGTTCTTGCCTTATGCAAACTATATGATCTTCCCACTCACATTTTATAAAACAGAAGGGTATATTAAAAAATAGGCCAATTGTACTTCTGATACATGATAAGCATGAAGATGAAATTGTAGTCAAAATAGTTCCAACCAAACTATATTCTTTGTTTATTCTTTTCTTTCTAGCACTCCTAATGTCGTAAAAGTTTTCAGCTTGAAAGATGGGTAAAAATTAAACATTCACAGTATCTTTTTCAGAGGCTGGAAATCTCATGCTTGGAAAGATTTCTGCTTTGGAATGTCTGTAATATATTGAAGCCTTAATACCATTCTAATTGGTACCTTACTAATTAGCTTGTGACTAGAATTTTAATTAGATGCACAATAGGTGTCTTCTTACCTGCAGTGGAGGAGCTATTTCCTGGGAAGAAAAGTGAAGGTAAAAGGATAGTGAAAGGAATCCATAGGAGAGAAATATAATCTAATCCCTACTATAAGAAATGTATACGTTAATTAATATTTTTCAGAATTATTTCTCTGGAAATATATTCTGTTTTCCAAAGCACATTAAAGTTTGCTTTATGATTTGCTTTTCTCCCATGAAGAACAAATGGTAATTTTTTTCAGTGATGTGTCTTATGCTGTGAGCAAACTTGGAAATACTGGAACACAACTGTAGTTAATTAGCTCAGGGCCAGCCCCAGGGAATGAAGTGGACACATCACGGGTTCAAAGCAGGAGTATGTAATCAGAGTTGAAGAGTAGAGCTGTGTACCTGTGAGCTGGGTCACAGGCAACAAGGCTGAAAAGGGAGATGCCCAGCACCTTGAAAATGGCATTAGTTGAGCTTGGGCTATAGCACACTCTGGAGTTAAAAAGGCATGTGAAAAGCTTGGAAGATGCAGCTGAGTGAATTCCTGTCAGTGGGGACTCAGAAGTACCAATACTCTGGTAGACGAGCATCATCTATCACTTTTCTTCTATCAGGAAAAGATAGGTAAGAGGGTTCAAATGTATCTGTCTGAAAATACTGCCACCACTAATGTTCTCATTAGCTTAATGGTATATAACGTGTTACAGAGAATTTTAGAATTGTCATTTGGGGTGAAGGCTGTTTTGAAATCTGCAAAATATCTAGTGCAAGAAGAGTCTAAAGACATAAATCTGAAGTTCCTTCCTTCTCTGAGGAAGCCTGAGTTGTATATTTATAAATATAAAGTTATTTGTCAGGCCTGGTAATCCCCATAAGCCCCAGCAGTGAAAAGGGTGATTCAATTTCAGAAGATAATGGGACACTCTGAAAAATTATGATCAGGCCCAGGGAACGTTTTTATATGAGATAGGAGATATACTGTTTATATAGGAGATATAAACAGTAAAAGTAAAGGGAGGATGAATTGCAGAAAACAGAAAGACAGTTAAAGTATTATTATTTTTCCCCCCACTAAAGGGAGACTCTTAGAACAGGCTTTCTGAAGGAAGTGTAAAACATGCTGTACAATTTGCATGATTTGAAAAATAATTTTTGTTAATTCATTTTGACTGGGAAAATTCTTCTACGTGGTGAATAAGGTCACAGGTGAGCTACATTCCATGCTCTGCAAGATATTTAAAAGCAATAGCTAAGGAATATTTTTCTCCAGGTGTCAATATAAAGCAAGTGAGAATAAAGTTCCATCCCTTATGTTTTCGATAAAATTTGTACCAGTCACTCTGAGACCAGTAATTACTTCACAAATGGTAGAGAACTTTGTGGAATAAGAACAGCAAATTATTAATTGGAGAAACATCTGTAAGTGTCAGTTGTGTCAAGAAGTGGATGATGTCATCCTTGGGCCAAAATCAAATTACCCCAATCTCAGTCAAATAACACATGTAATATGTGGTTTGAAAGCAAGTTATACGTTATGGAATAATGCTGAATATAGGTGAAGTCAGAGAAAAATATGATGGTCTGTTACCAACTCTACAAGCAATAAATATTAATCTAAAATTGTGTTTGCTCTGAAGTATTCACTCAACTGCCCTGCCTAGTAAAAGATATTACCTTTTCAAAAGGCTTTATTAGCCCACTTGTCCTGTGAGATCTGGTCATTTCCCATTGCAAATTTTGTCTCCTACTGTGAGTTTCATTAGAAACAGAAAGGAGTGGGGAGCTCAAGCCATGGTTAGTGGAATTATATTGCTTTTAATTTCTTTATGGGAAGAGTTTTAAGGCTTATTCATGTAAAAAAGATTCTACTTCTTGCTGTGTAATTAAAATGCTAGTTGGGCCTGGCATATCTTGAGGTGTCTCATTTTGCAGGGAGGTTTGAGTCTTCCCTGACACCTCCAAGACACCAGCTACCTCAGATCAAAGGCTGAATGACCACTTCTGTGAAGCAGTATCCTGTTATCTCTGCAGAAAGGGAGAATATATTAGCTCAGACTTCATGCCATGCTACACATCCCTATCACTCCTGGACAAATGAGAGCATACTTTAATATGAAGTGAACTTGAATATCCCTGCAAAGAGGCTGCCTCCATACCCTTTGTCCATGTCCTAGTGGGACTGCTGCTCACATCACAAAATGCCCACCACAGATAGCACTTTAGCAGAGTCTTTAGCAGTGCTCTGAGAATTGAATAGGCTGTTTGGAAAAGGCAATTATAATGTACCACCACTTCATTTGAACAGTGCAGTTTGAAAGGGAAAAAAAAACCCACAACAAAACACCTCTTATGTGATTGCTTTTCTGTCTTTGGAAATAAAAGGAAACTGGTTTTCCATCTTGAGTTTGTTGGTGATGGCAGACTTCAGCATCCAGTTCTTTAATCCTTCTTGTTGTATACATATGGAGGTTTGCTGTGGGATACAGTGCAATATTTTTGATTGGAAGCTTCTACAGAACATCTCATTTATAACCTAGGTAGTGTGATGTTATTTTCCACAGTCTAGTTGACATGAGGAGGGAGATTAAAATGCAGGTCAGAAGTTCTAACCCGACTTGGCAGGCAGGAAAGGCTATTGGTTCGACAGGGTAATTACCCATAGGAAGTGGTGATGCTGACACTAGTTTTAATTTTTTGAGTGCTGCTAAAGATGTTTATCTTCACTCTGAAAGCTTTGGTCTTTTATGGTTTGAATGCTGGCTGTGAGGGAAGCTGTCAGATTGCTCTCTGCTCTATCCAGCAGTAGTGCTCTTCAAAATAGTCGAAAGATTTTTTTCATCTGAAAACAGAAGGAAAATATATTCCTACTTCTGAGCCTTTTTGTGAAACTCATTTAACCAGAGATATACTGTCCTGAATTTGAATGAATATTGGGAGAGTGTTTGCTTGGGTAAATAACATGTATAATGTTATGGAGTAGAGATTTAATTGCTGTTGTTTGTTTGGGTTTTTTTGGGTTTTTTTATCTCTTCCACATAGAATGGGCTAGAACATAGTTTTCGAGACTATAAAATAATATCCTAATCTTTTATGATTTCTTATCTCTTACATAATTTAAACTGAGGATTCCTTATTTAAGAAAACCTAAAATGAATTTCAGAGCTTGTGTTATGTAAGCTAGTTAGTTACATCAAGCAGAAAAACTGAACACTGCCTTTGGGGGAGAGGGGCGGGGGGGGGAATAAATGCTTGAAAGCAGAGTCCAGAGAATGAAGGACAGTTTGGGGACCAGGTTCTCCACAAACCACGCCACAGAGAGGCTGGCAAAAGGCATCGGATACACGTGGAGCACCAGTCAACCTCAGAGGTTCTTTGGGATCAATTTTGGATGCTTATGGACATATGTTCAGTCTGGGAATAATACTTAATGTTTTCACATGATTTTGTCTTCCAGAATGATTGAAGATTGTGGGAAAAGAGGAAATACCATGGCAGAAAGAAGGCAGCTGTTTGCAGAAATGCGTAAGTACTTCCTGGAAATGTTTTGCCGTGATAGACCAAGCCAGTTGCTATGCAATGTCAGTAAAATTTATGCAAGCTTTCCACCTCAAATCTCTGTTGCACAAATGAATATCATGAGACCAAAACCGCATGAAAATGAGCTGATTTGACCAAAGCAGGAAAGAGGGATTTTATACATCAGATTTTTTTATTGAATTACTTTAATCCATAGTTTTCTTAAGACAAAGATGATGGAGTACACAGGTTGCAATGAAGAGGGATAAAGGTCTCCAAAAGCTACATCTTTTTCTGGAGATATCTGTAGTGGGTTGACCCCAGCCAGCTGCCAAATTACCACATGCTTAATCCCTAACCAGCCCCCAGCAGAATGGGAGAGAATATAGGGAGAGCAAAAGCAAGCAAACTCATTGCTTGAGATAAAGACTTGATTAGGTGACAGAAAGAGAGGGGAAAAATTACAACAGAAACCAAGAACCAGTGATGCAAAGGTGGCTATTCCCCACTTCCCAAAAGCAAACTGATGCCCAGCTACTTGTGGAATAGTGTCTGCCTTGGAAAACAAAACTCCCCTCCCCCTTCCTTCCCTACCCCAGTTTTATTGCTGAACATGACATTATATGGTGTGGACTGACCTTTTGGCCAGGTGGGGCATCTGTCCTTGCTGTGTCTCCTCCCAACCTCTTGCCCATCCCCAGACAGCCCTGGGAGGGAGCAGAGTAGGAAACAGGAAAGCCTGGGTGCTGTGCAAGCACTCTTCAGCAACAGCTGAAACAGCGGTGTGTTATCAACACTTTTTTAGCCACAGATCTGAAACACAGCACCATGCAGACTGCTGTAAAGAAAGTTAACTGCATCTCAGCCAGACACCATACAGGGACTCACGTGCTTCATACCCCACTTCAGTATAATTTTTTGTAGTTCCTAATGAAGTCTTGTGCTAGCTGCACAATAGTGTGTCAGGGATGTACCATACCAACAATGTTCCTGCACTTCTGACAGTCATCTCTAATTTCTCTTACAACCAATCCACTGTTTCTCCAAGAAATTCTGTTACATGTCAAGTTTGAGACTGTCTCTCTGTTAATAGATTTACCTGAGTTTTGTACGTAATTACTAAGCATCCTGTTGTTTTTCCCCTGCCTCATAGTAAACTATGACAGAGCATCTCCCTGATCTTTGGTGGCAGACTAAGATGAGCATTACTGGGACTGGAGTTATTGTGCATGATGAAAGACCAGGTGTGTGCTGGTGAATTCAATGTGTGTGAGCCCTGCATCTGAGCTCTCCAAATTAAAGACTTCCCACTGAGATGGCCTACCAAGAGGTGTTTTGGCCCATTCCACAGTGACCACGAGCTCTGTTGTGCCCTGTAATTGTTTTAGTATCACACGGCGCTTGCTGTTGTAACTCATGAATATTTCTCACTGATCTTTTCTCTCTGGTGCCCAGCGACACAACCTGAAGAAATGGATTGAAGCTGTGTCATGGGAGGTCTAGGTTGGATATTAGAGAATTTTTCTTCATCCAGAGGGTGTTTGGGCACTGGGACAGGCTCCCCAGGGAAGTGATCACAGCACCAAGCCTGACAGAGTTCAAAAAGCATTTGGACAATACTGTTGGGCACATGGTGTGATTTTTGGGAGTATCCTTTGTGGAGCCAAAAGCTGGACTCAATTATTCTTGTGGGTCCCTTCCAACTGAGGATATTCTGTGATTCAGTTGTCTCTTGTGTACAGCATCTTGGAACCTTAGAGGGAGGTGTTGTACTTTGGCCAAAATCAAAAAATGTATTTGTCCATTATCAGAACATACTGACAGTAGTAGTTTTAATTAGAATTACAGAGGGGGCCTTGATTTTTTATCAGCTAAAGTCAGTAACATAAGTACCATTAATTTCAATTAGTTTTAAATATTCCTAAAATATTTAGGACTTTTCTGTGAGGATTTGTTTTTTGTTTCCACAGTTTTGAAGGCTATTTTGATGTTGGATTGTTTTTCAGGAGTTAAGGAGGTCTTGGGAAAATCAGCAGTTGGAGGCAGAGGAGTGATTATTTTCCTGTATTATACACCAGTAGTTACAGTCTACTATTCTCTTCTTTCACTTACTTCAGTCTGGTTTATCTCACATGTGCTTCCCTTTTCTGTTTGCCTGCCTCTGTTCCTCCACCTGTGTACTACCTGTGTATACAGAGAACTGGATGCTGCAACTAGGTAAAATGAGCAGAAAATATTAAGTCTTTGTGGAAAACTAAATGTATTTTAGCCATATTCATGAAACAGCAAACTTTGCATTGTGAGAGCCCTTTGGATACCTCTGTGTGTGGAGGGTGTGCTTCATGGGAAACAAAGTTCTTCCTGGGATCACATTCAGCTGTGTGCAAGCCCACATGTTTAACATGTGTAACAAAAATTGTGTGCTCCTGATGCCCTACATATTGTGGGCCATGTGAAGCTTCTTAAAGTTCTGATAGGCATAACCCTATGGTAATAGGTAAACTCCACAACCTGCCAATATCAGAGGAAGAAAATTCATAATATAAAGGCTTTTGCCAGTGGTTTTGGTTCTTGGGCTCTACATCTGCCAGTCTGATTAAAACCCAACAATAATTGTACAAAATGGGTCATGTTCCAGACTAGACGAGATAGAAAAGACAAGAAAAAAAAAAAAAGAAAAAAAAAAAAAAGAAATACAAATTTTCAAGCCTTTTTAAGTGGGAAGTTTGTTCTGAACAAGGTATAGAAGGGTTTGATTCTGACTTTAAATTTGGACCACTGTGATTTCCCCTGTATTTTGAAAGGTCCAGTTCAACCTTTTTTGTTTCCTTTCCTTCAGAAGAGAAGTTCCAAATTACAAACATTTTTGAATTGATACCATAATCATTATCACCTTCTGTAGAGTCCCACATTTAAAGCTTGTCTTATAACTCAAAATGCTCTGTTGGACGTCAAGCCACTGGGTCTTAGTCTTACCTTAGCCTGACCTGACATGCCCAGGTATATCCACACTGATGAAGAGTTCAAAATGTACATCACTGTTGGCACATATTATCCAGCAAGAAAAGAGCAGACAAAGTCGCAGTATGTCCCTTTGTTATTTTTGCAAACTGCCAACAGTGTTACTTGACATGAGCATATTCAAAGGAAACAGAGTGAGGCACTGGCAGCAGGCAGAAGAAAGGAGACACCACTAGCAATCCTGTAGGGAAGTTACAAATTTACTGTCTCATTTGCAATGCTCAGTCTTGGACATCTTTCCACTTGTTTATCAGGACTCTCCATCACGTAAGGGATGGCACTTTTCTACAGAAGTTATTTAACAAATAGATCTCTGACTGTGGCAAAATATGAATCATGACAAAATTAAATTGTCTATTCAGGGTCTTATCAACAGCACCTACCCCCCAAATAATATCAAAATAATACCATCCACTCACTATGTTTGAAAATAGGAAAAAAGGGGGCGGAAGGGCAATATCACGTACAAATTTGTTTATTTATGATTATTACTGCAACCTCAGAAGCTCAATGAGCCACAGTCTCATACCTTGTTAAAAGGCTGAAGTTTTATAAAGGAGAACTGGAAGTTTATTGATACCTTTCACTGAAGGGAGAAAAAGTTACATTAATTTTACTTATTTTTCCTGTTAAAAAGGAAAAGCTTAGTGTTACAACCTTTATCTTCCCTTTCACCTACAAAGAAATTTTCCTAAAGATGTCAGCGAGATACTAATGGAGAAGGAAAAAACCCTGTATAATTTTAACAATAGAGGATATGATGGAAAAAACTCACAAAAATGCTTCCCATACCTGATGTTAAGTAGTCAAAGGTAATTTCTCCTAGAAGCAGATGGTGTAACTGGCAAAAGGGAGTCACTGGGAGCCTTGGGAAGATGGTGTGGGAGAATTTAGTCAAGAAAAGAGCAGAATTTGGGGAGACTAGAGAGTATCATTCTCATTTTCATGTCATAGGCCAGAGCACATTTTAAAAAATTTGAGTCCAAAGGATGACCTTGTTTAGGAAGAAAGTGTGGGTGAATGATGCTGCCACAGGAAGAATGGAAGATTCAGGCAAGATTTATCAGGGAAGGAAGCCCTCCAGTTGAGGCACAAGGTGCAGAAAGGATCCCACTCACTCTGGAAACTCCTTCTCAGAGAATAGTCTGAGTAGAACTTTATCCAGTCCTAGTCCCAGACTTGGTCAAGAGTTTATTTCTTAAACATTATATAGATGTAATTGATACTTTATACGACTTCATCATGCAGGATTAAGCGTAGCAAACCAAATATATCTATAGGAATAAAATAAATATTTATTTAAATTGGTGATAATGATAACAATTAAATTAAAATATTATAATAAAAAATGTTTACCAGATAGTATAGATATTTATAACTAATTATATTGGGCACCATTTATTAAATAAATTATTTCAAAGGTAGCTTAATAATTATAAAGTACAGATTGGTGTTACTCACCCATATCAACACTGTGGGCAAATCTCTTCCACTTGGCCTCAAGGAATAACATTGAGGGGTGTCCCCAGTCAAGGGAGGAGTTGCCACATATGTATCCAAAAGGAAGGTTTTGAAGTCCCTGCCATTAAAAAATGGAACTGAGTTTTTAGAGTATAAAGTGATTGACTGCCACTCAAATGTTTCTAGGATCCCCGTGCCAGCTCATCAGCTTCAGATAAGTTATCACTGCTATCACTTGTTGCTTCCTTTATCAGGAAGTTTGTGTGCCACATCCTCACCAGTGCTGATTTCTGTCAGGCAAGACTGTTTTGATGTCCCCAGAAGGTTTAGCGTAGGGGTTATGGAGTCAGGCTGGTCTCAGCACTCCTGAACACCTAAAGCAACATGATCCACCTTCTCCATCCATCACTGATAACTTATGCAAAGGGGAGAAAATCTGAGCTGTTTTACCTCCACTTACACAGAATATCCTGCTACAGATGCCAACATTGGCCATATGTTCTGCAGTTCAGCTGAGAAATCTTAAAGCATTTAGGAAGCTTGTGTAAAAGCAGGGCTGTATTCCACTCTTACATCCTGAGTGTACCTTGTTTGGATGAGTTTGTTGGACACTGTGCCAGGATGTGCCCCCATACTGGCCCCTGTGTACTGTCCTTGTTTGTGAGGTAGCTGCCACTTAGTTTGTTCCCATCTCTCGGACAGCTGCTTTGGAAATGTTACCAGATCTTTTCGCTGCAGCAGCCAGGGCCAAGCTTTATCTTTAGAGAGCTGACCCTCAGAGGTCTCCATTGCAGAGAGCATACATCCACAAAATGGAGAAAGGCTGCACACCCCTTGTCACTGCCCCCTTCTGCAGATTGCCATAAGTCTTCTTCTTATGGCACAGTATGTTTTCTGATTTGGTTTGCTGGCAATACCTTGGTCTGGTGTGGCATGTCAGCTAAAGAATATTTGTTATGAGCTATTTTGCAGAATATTAAAATTCTGCTGAGGTTTCCCCTGCTGTTGGAGCCTGGCCAGTGTGTCTTTTAGCCTGCAGCTTGACCAGATTGTTCTTCAAAGTGACAGACACAGTGGGCTGACTATTCCTTGCTTTCCTTTCTAAAATTCTTTTAACACTGTAGCTCCTGATACTCCCCTTGTTACTCCTCACTCCTCTCTACTCTCTCTGCAAAGGAGAGAGCCTTGAAAATTGTTAAGAGGAGGCAGCTCATATGTCCTCTTTGTTCTCTGGCTTCCCTGCTAGCAGAGATACGCACAGGTCATATTCCATACAAATGTCACCGTTATTCTCTTCCACTAGGGGCTCAGGATCTGGATCGCATCCGTTTGTCCACCTACCGAACAGCATGCAAGCTTAGATTTGTTCAGAAGAAATGCAACTGTAAGTATGCCAGCACTTCTTTCACCTACCATTGTTACAAGCTGCCCACTGCACTCTCCACCCTGTCCTTCACACCACTGACAAACCTGGACTGTGTGATCTGGCACGGTAATGCACACTAATCAGAGTGCCTGGGCAGACTTCAAATATTAACCTGTTTGTGTGAGGAATTTGCTTCAAATATGCCAGTGATTCATTCATAGAAGGGTGGGGCAGGATGCAGGCCACAACTGTAATTAGTAAGTATGTTAACTGCATTCTCCAGTGTTCTTGTGAAATAGCATTTGTGAGTTTCAGCAGGGCTCTGCAAATTAAATGCTTTTATAGAGCTCTGTGAGAAAAAATGCTGCTTCCAGTCCTCTTCTATTTAGGGTGCAGCAAAGTAAGTGCAATGTTGGTCAGACCCCTCTATTTCCAGAAGGCCAGCTAGAGGCAGCTCTTCTGGGAGAGTGATGCATGTAATCTCTGCGTATGTGTCTTAATCCCTCTAGATTTTATTGGGAAATTTCCCACTTGATTAGTGACCTTTTTTAACTTCTCTTCTGAGATTCAGTCTTTTTCCCTTTACAGCTGCATTTTCTATTAGCACATTCACGTGCTGCAAGCTTTAAAGGTGAAATACATATAAAATCTGTAATGGAGTATATCCTTTCTTCTCCATCCAAAATAGTATGCAAATACTTAGAAAGGCAGATTTGGGTATATGTGCTTTACTGGACATTACCACACTAACTTAAAAAAATACCCTAACCAAGGGCACTCTTGTCAGCAGTAGCAGTAGGGAGAGGACCAACACAGAGAAAACAAGTGGGTTTTAGTCCTCGCATACAGACTAGAATGACAACCTGGCTATGCTTGTGCTACACACAGTGGTAAGTATGTTTAAAAATGCTCACTGTAGATAGAAATTTACCACCCTGTTAAGTTCCTAGTTTTGGGGTTACATCTGTCTGTGTTACAGAAATGTTTATCTTAGGCTGTCCAAACATACTGGAGAGGCCAGCTTGTAATGGAAAATATTTTGGAGAGTATTTACTGTGTTATTAGCCACAGAGCTGATCATTTAATCACTTTTGTAGCACACATCTCATATTTTTAAAATGTCCTTAGCTGAAGTATGAATTGAAGGTTTGGTATTGCATTATAAGCAGTCTGCCAGACACAAAACCCAGGGGGGGGTTTACTACCTGCCCAGCAGCTGGCTTCTCCCATTCAAGAGCAAATGTGTTGAAAGATGCTATTATGTTGCATTTACTTGGTTTTTTTTTAAATCTTGTGTTTAGGAGGATGACATTTTCACTTCATTTTCATGGTAACAGAATACAGTAGTCTGAGGTGACAAAAGTATCCCATTAAATGGTCAGTGATAGCAAAGTATGTATGCAACTGCATGCAAAGCAAATGAAAAAAAAACTGAGGGCTAACAATAGCCTCATTGCTGGGAGTGTCTGGCTGGCTGAAAATATACTGGTTGTTAATTTTAATTTTATGCCTCTTATTTATGAACTGTGATCTACTTTTGTGGAAATGTTGGTTCTCCTCATAGAGATTTAGTGCGGATGCACCACAGTTTGCTAGCTTGTGCCAAGTAGCTCGTGGATGGGACTTAGCTTCTGGTCTCCATTGATAACCTAGGAGGAGTAATTTACTGATCTTGTTTAAAGATTTATACTATATCAATCTCTTCTTAATGAAAAAAGTAAAAGGAGAAACTTATAATGTCATGCTAAGTATTAGGTTCTGTGCAACTTAAGAATTAATGCCTACTGCTCTGGAGCAGGCTGGATTGTCTGTGTCTTTTCACCATCAAGTACAGTTTTCTTCTCGTTGTTTTGAGTAGACTGCTGCTTTCCCAGATGAGTTTCTCTTATCAATGGGAAAAGAAGTCATTCATTCACCTGTCAGGTATTCAAGCAATGGCTATACATGAAAGAGCTACTAAACATAGAACCAATGGACTGAGCACTGCCCTTGAAATGGTTAATATCAGACCTCTGGCTCATGTCAGCTACTGTTTTAGGGATTTTTTCCCCCTACAGATACTGTCACTATGCACCACCCAGCAGTAATGAGACAAAAAAAGAAAAAGGGTCACGGGGAAAAAATCCTTTCTGCTGCATCTGTGCTGATTCATTTAGGGCAGAATATAACAAGAAAAAGCTCAAAGACAGTTCTGCTCCACTCCCAGTGCATAGCACCTCCTGTCACTCAAGCCATCCTTGCCTTCTTTCAGCTGTGTCCTTCTGCCCTGCCCTGGCACACTGGCCCAGACTTACTAGTGAAAAATTGCTTGGAAAACACTGTATTTGTGGTGTTCTTTTAAAGAGCTAATTTAATAAATGGCTGAGAGCTGCTCTTGGCTACAGGCTGAAGGTGTATGAGGATGGAAGCAGAGAGCTGTTTTGAGTGCCAGAAGTGTTTGTTTCAAGGAAAGCAGAGCAGAGGCTTTATTAGCACCATCTTTTTTACCCAGAGGTGTCCATTAGCATAGGCAGTCATGGGATATCATTTAACAGGCAGCTACACTTATCACACACACTGCACTGTTTGTTTCTGCTGCCTTTAATGCAGACACAGACTCAGGTTCATCTCCTGGCCTCCCTTTGAGGATTCCCATAGTACAAAAGCAGTTTTTTGCTGAAACCTTCAGCAGGAGGCTGGGTTTTACTGGCAAAGTAGGCAGTGTGCAATGGGCAAAAATCATATTCTGAAAACCATTCTCTCTCGCACAGTTTTCTCCTGAAACTAGTTCAATTTTCTGGGAAAAAATTAGAGAGAACGTGACAGTTTACCACCTTCAACCAGAATATAACTACATATATTACATCTTGAATACTACTACTACTGTTGATCAAATAATTTGCTTTGTGAAATTATTTCATTTTCATGAGAGGAAGATTTCTGTGCAGATATTTAGCCAACAGTCTTCAAAATAGCAAATATATGTCTTTCTGACAATTCTATACAACTTTGGGAAAATACTCTGTTTGTGGAAAGTATTTATTTTATAAAAATGTCCCTGAGCATTTTAAAGTGACAGTTCAAATACAGTCATCAAAGTGTGAAAAAATCATTATCAGTCATTGCAATTATTTGTCAAACATAATGGAATTTAATCCAGTCCAGCCTTGTTCTTCAGAAAAGAAAAATATTCTTCTTAAGGACTCATAAAAAAGTAGATAAATTTGAAAAAATCCCTGATGTTATCTTTCAAATAAAAATTTCTGCAAATTTAAGCATTCCTCTTTACCTAAGTTAACTCTGCAAATACATAATAATAACATTTACAAATTATTGTTGCCACACCTCTGAATCTTGTAAGTGTCCAAATGTGGGATGCAATGTTTTGTAATGTAATGCAAAATTACAAAAATCCCAAAAGCAGGAGACATGCAAAATTCTGAATGTTGAAATCCTAAAAGCTGGGAAACCTTGTTAATTCACCATGAATATAAACTAATTTTATGGTTTTTATTTCTGCTGACAATTTCTAAAATTGAAAATAATGAAAAGAGAAACTCTGTAGGTAATGTAGGTACTTTTGAGGACTTAGGTATAGAAAGAGATAATTGCAGACTACTTGCTGATTGCTTTGCAGAATTCCTGTAGCAATAGACCTGTTGGAATAACAATAGTCTTCCCTTAGTTATAAATATCAGCA